AGATATTGCACGTAATAACAGCTAATATTTATATAGTATTTCAAGCACTGTGAAGCACTTTACACATACTATAGTATTTTATCCTTACAACAATGCTGAGAGACAGGTGCTATTAATTTGCCCATTTCACAGATAAGGAAATTGAGGAAAGATAGAGTTTAAGTGACTTGCCTATAGTCACATAACTGAGACCAAATTAGAACTCAGGTCTTTCTGACTCTAGGTCCAATGCACCAGTTAGCTGTATATAACTTTATTTGCTTACTTACAATCTAGAGTGAAAAATGTCGCCCTGAAGTACTGAGCACAATGCAGAAATAGTGGCTACTTTTTAAATATGGGCCAATATTTAATGAGAATTCCTGCTGTTGGAGGTAATTCTCCTTCTAAAAATAATGTTGTTGTCCAGTGGTTTCATTCATCTCTTACTCTTCATGACCACATTTGGGATTCTTTTGTCAGAGACACTGGAATAATTTGCCATTTCCTTTTCTAGCTCATTTTACAGATGAGGAAACTGAGGCAAACGGGGTTAAGTGCCTTGCCCAAGGTCACGCTGCTAGTAAGTGTCTGAGGCCGCATTTGAACTCAGGTCCTCCTGACTCAAAGGCCTGTTACTCTAGCCACTGTGTCACCTAGCTGACCCCTTTGAAAATAATATGTATATTCTATTCAGTTCTGAGGTACACACCTTAAAAAAGTTTTTTAAAGCCCATTTTATCAATATGTAATAATAATTAGAGCCAGCATCTATCTAGCACTTTAAGCTTTACAAAGCATTTTACAAATATTATGTCGTTTCATTCTCACAAACAACCCTGGGAGATAGGTACTATTATTACCCCCCTGATGAGGAAACTGAGACAGACAAAGGTTAACTGACTTCCCCAAGTTCACACAATGAGTTTGTGAGGCTGGGTTTGAACTCAGATCTTTCTGCATCCAAGTCCAATACTTTCTATCCACTTCACCTACCTGCCTCTAGTGTATCGCATAAACCAAAGTTCCCTATTTTAAGAAGAACCTATATAAACACTCATTCACAAATGTGCTTTAGACAAATATATAAAGGTGTACGTGTGCATAAATTCATGTTTTATTTTTAAACCTAAGTCAAAAAGTATTAGGAAAATTTATCTATCTCCACCAAAACAGATTTCTTCAAATTTCAGCCAGAACAGCATATTTTCCTATGGAAAATAGTCACCAAAGTGCTGTTTTTTTTTTAAAAATTTAAATAAAAAAAATACTCCCTTGAGATATTTAGTTAATTCTAAAAGTATGAGGATTAAGATAATCCCTTGAGTTGTTCCCCTGTATAGCAGGATGTATTTCTTTTCTTCATCTTTGGGATATCTGATCATCTATTTTGTTTTATCTCAAGAATTACTTCCAAGATAAGTGGAAGCTATGCTACTTAAATTCTTTTGGTTGTCCACTTTGCACCTAGTACCACACCACTGGGGACCACTGTGTCAATTTGAAGAAAAAGGGAGTGTTAAAGGCAACTATCACACATAATTGGAGAAGAAATAAATCCCAACCAAAATATTTATGCTTCAGCTTTTGAAGATATTCTTTCCCCTTGATCCAAATCCTTTTGAGCCTCAAACACCCAGTGACTTTTTCTAACAGTTTCCTCACCTTTAAAATGGGAATAATAATAGCACCTACTTCTTAGAGTTGTGAAGACTAAATGAGATAACATTTGTAAATGGCACTTAGCACAGATTCTGGCACATATAGGCACTTAATAAAAACTTATTTCCTTCCTTCCTTCCTTACTCATCATTGATGTGATTCCACTAGTAAAAGTCAGTTGCAGACTTGCTTATTACATTCCAAAGAAAATTTCATTACCGTCCAAAAATCACATGATAATAATGAGATAATTGTTACTATAGAAACGATTTGCAGAGAAGATGGCACATAGTTGCACTAATTGGAAAGGGTAAGGGGAAAAAATGATTTTGCTGGGTGTCTGATGCAACACAGCTGTGTCTGGCTGGCCAAGTCACTTCTGGGAAGATCCTTAAGGTTCAGTTGTTGAGGAGAGAGTCACAGTCTGCATAGCCGGTTTCAAGCCTTGGCTTCCTGCACTCTGAGCTATGTCATGGGCCTCATTAATATCGGATATATGTGGTGGCATAGTGGACAGAGCCCTGAGCTTGGAATCAGGGAGACTGATCTTCATGAGTTCAAATCTGGTCTCAGACACTTACTAGCAGTGTGACCTTGGGCAAGTCACTTAACTCTCTTTGCCTCAGTTTCCTCACCTGTAAAAAAATGAGCTAGAGAAAGAAATGGCAAACCACTCCAGTATCTTTGCCAAGAAAACCTCAAATGGGGTCATGAAGAGCCTGACATGACTAAAAAGCATGTAGTAACGGGGAGGACCCTGTTCCCATGCAGAAAGGAAAGTTTTTATACTACAAAGGAGGGCTAGGGGGAATGATACTGGCAGCTCCTTCATGACATCTTCTATGTTGGTGTTATCAAAGGTAACTGAAGGGGAGGCCAGGAGGAACTAATGGAATAAGGAAAGTGACTTATTTCTGAGAGGGGTCTGTAGGAGCTCAGGATGAGTGGTGCATGCTTAGGAGACTATGGATGCAGATCTTCCAACCTAGCCCATAGACTATTCAGGGGTGGGGAACCTGTGGCCTCGAAGCTACATGTGGTCCTCTAGGTCCTCAAGTGTGTCCCTAACTGCACTTGAGGACCTAGAGGACCACAGGTGGCCTCGAGGCCACAGGGGCCTCACCCTTGGACTATACCAATTTCTTATGGCTGTTTCCAACGACATGGAGGAAAAGTAGAGATACACCACTTGGAGTCACAAGAAACCTTGTATCTTGCCTCTGATATTTAACTGACTGTGTGACCATCAGCAAGTTATTTAACCTCTCTGAGTCTCAGTTTCCTCATCAATAAAATTGGGATGATAGTAACTATAGTACCTACTTCACAGGGTTGTTGTGAGGATCTAGTGAGACAAATCCTATTTTGCAAACCTTAAAGTACTATGTAAATGCTAGCCGTTATACATAGGGTGCCTCCAAAGTCTTAGTTTTAAGTTTTAATAGCTGTGGAGAAGGTGTCAACCTGCAGTCTAAAGAGAATGTCCTTATCTGGTAGTGCCCTAAAGCAGTGGAATTGTGGGTCCAATCTCTATTCTTAACCAAATTTAGTTGTTAACAAGGTTCTCATTCTTCAGTGGTTAAGAGTACCAGGCTGACCATTTCTGCAGAGTTTCGAAAGGCAGAGAGGATGTGGTCAACATCTTTTCTTTGTTTGGTTATTATTAGAATTTTTAGTTGTACCAACACCACTCTACCGAGTGGAAAATGAGATCAAAGAATTTCTGATTGTTGCAATAAAAATAGTTCACTTTTCAATAGTGTTTTAAAATTGCAAAGATCTTCCCTCCCAAAACCCTGTGCAGGTAGATAGCATAAAAATTGTTATCTTCATTTTACCAACAAGTAAATTAAGGCTCAGACAGGTTAAGCAATTTGGCCAGGGTGTCAGGAGCAGGATTCAAAAGTCTCCTGACTCTAAATCCTATCCTTTAGCTAGGTGGTAGAGAGGGTAGAGCCGGTAGAGCTTAGGACCTGGAATCAGGAAGACCTGACTTAAAATCTGATCTCAGATGCTTCCTAGCTGTCTGACCTTAGGCAAGTCACTTAACCTCTGATTCAGTTTCCTCATCTGTGAAATGGGGATTATAATAGCATCTACCTTCCAGGATTGTTTTGAGGATCAAATGAGAAAACAGTTTTAATTGTTACTGTTTAGTCACGTCTGACTCTTCGTGACCCTATTTGGAGTTTTCTTAGCCAAGATACTAGAGTGGTTTGCCATTTTCTTCTCCAGCTCATTTTATGGATGAGAAAATTGAGGCAAACAGGGTTAAGTGACTTGCCCAGGGTCACACAGCTAGTGTCCCAGGCCGGATTTGAATTCAAGTCTTCCTGACTTCAGGCCGCGCACTCTATCCACTGCACCACTTAGCTTGTAATATAAATGCTAGCTATGATTATGATTATTATACGTTGCATTTCTATGCCATGCTGCATTAACCTAGGCTAGAGTATAGCCACAAGTCTGTTTACTACAGGTCAGCCAGCCCTGACAATATCTGATCAGGATGAGATTTGGCTCCTATAGATTAGGCAATTAGGTGGTATAGCACATAGAACTTTAGATCTGGAGTCAGGAAGACTTGAGCTCCTGGGCAAATCACTTAAATCTCTGTCTTCTTTAGTGTCCTCAACTATAAATGGGGATAATAATAGCACCAGAGGAGCTCAGTGGCACAGTGGATAGAGCACCGGGCTTGGAATCAGGAAGACTAATCTTGATGAGTTCAAATTTGGCCTCAGGCGCTTACCAGCTGTGTGACCCTGGGCAAGTCACTTAACCCTGCTTGCCTCAGTTCCTCATCTGTAAAACAAACTGGAGAAGGCAATGGCAAACCATTCCATGTCTTGGCCAAGAAAACCCCAAAATGGGGTCACAAAGAATTGGATATGACTGAACAACAAAAAAATAATTGCACCTACCTCTCAGGAGTGTTATGAGAATTAAATGTACTCAGCACAATACCTGACACATATTCAGCACTTAATCAATACTTATTTCCTTCTTTTCTTCCATTGCCATCAGAAAATATATCTTTTTTAATTGAAGGATATACAGGATGGGTGGAAATCATTAGCATAGCAGTCCATTCCTGCTTCCCTAAAGTAGCAGCACAACCTTAGCCCAGCATGACTCAACTAAGCCTTAGCTTCCTGCACTCTGAGGTATGCTGTGGGCACCACTAATATCAAATGCTCGTAGTGACCTTCAGGACACTGCCCCGATGTCAAACTGGCCCACAGTCTCCTCAAAAAAGAAGTTTCTATACCCCTCCCCCACTCAAGACTTAAGCACAATTCAAACCCCATCAGAAGAGCGTAGGTAGTGTTGAAAGCCAAGGACCAAAGAGCCAAATCTCTAAGGGTGCCAGCTTCATAGATCTTTTTATTCTTCTTCTTCTTATTTTTGACAAAGTGCTTATTCACAAAGGGTCCAGACTCATAGCAATATGACACAGAACAGTGAGGAAGTAGATCGCTTAGCACAATGCTACCACAAAGAATGTTGATGTTAAGACAAATAGTCCTTTCTCCTACAGCTGTAGCCTAAGTGCAGACTCCTTCCCATACTCAAATCTCAATGTTTGTTTTCTTCTGAACTCTTTTCTTTTCTCTTTTGTATGTTTTAAAAGACAATTCAATGACCTAATTTCTTTTTTTTGTACTTTTTTTTGGGGGCAACATTATTAGTATTCCTTCCCCCTTCCAAAAGTCTCTCACCTCCACCCTCTGCTCCACCTATATGATCTGGGGGGCAAATCTCAGTTCTGGTAATTGCTGTGTGTGGCGCAAAATGGAATGGGAGTAGGTTGATGTACGCTGGACCTGATCTCTTCCATTTCTAATCCTATGAAATTTAAAATCTGCTAGACAACTTAAACTCCTTTACCCTAGGATGATTTGTGTTGGCTGTTTTTTCTGGAGGCTGAATTCCCCATTCCAAGGCAGAGAGAAACTACAGAATGAGAAAAGAACTTGTCTTTCTGTAGGGTACCCTTGCTTGATCTCCACGGTGAGGCTAGTCAGCTGTACTGATTGTCCTGGAATGTAGTGTTGCGTTGCATGGCATAGGACATGTCTTCATACACGCTACCTGATGGATTCTGAGTCCTTCTTACTTTGTGCACCTGGAAAACAAAAGCAGTTTTTCCTATTTTTAGTTCAGTTTGAGTACTTAGCTCTCCCTCTGCAAGCTGAGTAGTCCCCTTAGGACTAGATCAGATGTCTTTTCAGAAATAAAACACTAACTAGTAGTAGTCTGTTGTTATTGGGTTTTGTTGCTGTTGTTGTTATTGTTATACAATAACAATAATTCTTAAGAAATTCTTAAGTCCAGGGGTTTTAGGTTTCTGACAAAGTTGGAGGAAGAAGCCAGTAGTGTGGAATGAATTTCCTAGCAATCTCTCTCTCCAGGTACGCAAGCAAGATCCTGAGCAGCTAAGCAGTCCCCAAATTGTCCTTGACAATGAATTTTTGATATCTACAATCTCTTCAATGTTCATGCTACAGAATTCCTTTCAGTATTTATAAAGGAAAGCAATGAGGAGACATGATTCCAAGTTCAAATTCTATTTCAGACACATCTGAGATCAAAGAGAGCCATAAAGGACCTGGAAAATCATCACTTTACAGATGAGGAAACTGAGACCCAAAGAGGTAGCGACTCACCCAGGGTCACAAAGTATTAAGTGGTACAGGCAGAATTTTAGCCTACCTTCTTTGTCTCAATCCAGTTCTGTTTTCATGGCTCCATGCTGTTGCAAGTAATTCATAGAATCATAGATTTTAAGCTGAAAAGGATGTTGAATATTGATCCAGTTCAAGATTTCTCAGTCTACTTTGGAGGTAGATGTTTATCTCTGTGTGTGTGTGCATGTGCACACATACATGTAAACACACACATATACACACATATATGTATATATATGTAAATGTGTGAGATATAGGTATGTGTATGTATATATTATATATAACTATCTAACTAGATATAACTATCTATATCTATCTATCTATCAAACCAAAATGATTTCTGTCTCCCAAGAGACCCTGGAGTCTGGTGCTGACTGGCATTATAGTCATGTTAGAGCTGAGCTCAAGATTTGTCTCCACTCTGGTAAAGATTATTTAACTAGTCACTCGCTACTTTCTCCTGCATCTCCTCGCTCTTGGTGAAATTCTTCCACTGGAAATTCTTAAGTCCAGGGGTTTTAGGTTTCTGACAAAGTTGGAGAAAGAAGCCAGTAGCATGGAATGAATTTCCTAGCAATCTCTCTCTCCAGACACGCAAGCAAGATCCTGAGCAGCTAAGCAGTCCCCAAATTGTCCTTGACAATGAATTTTTGGTATCTACATTCTCTTCAATGTTCGTCCTATAGAATTCCTTTCAGTGTTTCATGATCTTCATGTTTCCCATAATGATTTCTAAAATCTGCTCCTCCCTTCCCTACACGCAACTTGATCTTTCTATCCGATACTGGCTCTGACCTAAGCGTTCCATTGACATTGCAATTTGGAGACCCCACTCCAAGGAGCTCAACAAAAGAAAATGAGATGGTATTTGAGATTTCCAAATGAATTGCTTTTTTCTGTATCTCATATTGCCTCTTCTTCCTTCTGCACTTTTGAGAGAAGCTCAGCCTGCTGGGTGGGGAAATAGCCAAATGAAAAAACACAAGAGAAGCCACAGGTCTGATTCACTTACCCACTTCTTCATCATCATGAACAGTGGCCACAGGGCCAGCCCAATGAAGAAAGATATCACAATCAAGACCACCTCCACCTGTGAATTCTTCAGGTTTCCGTCCTCTTTTTTCCATTTTTTTTCTAGGGAGAGGAAATAGTGAAGAGTGATTTACAGGGCTCTAACAAGCTGAAGGTGGGTCTCACAGGTAGATGGGGAATACTGAAAAAAAAAAAGAGTAGCTATCTCTCTGTGTCCTTAGCTACGTGACTTAACTCATTAGAGTTTCTGTTACCCTAAAGAGTGGAAAAAGCACTTGCACTAGGTTATCAGGAGTTCAAATCCCAACAATGATACTTATTAACTGTGTGCTTATATGTTGTTTAATGTCCCTGAACCTCAGTTTTCTCGCCTGTAAAGTGAGAGTATTGGAAAAGAGGATCCTTAAGGTCCCCTTCTGGTTCTGACATTCTGTGATGCTATGACCCTAGGACCTAGTGACTATATTCCGTCCTAGGGAAAAGAGTGGAGATGAACCAGGCCGGGCTCCACCATGAATCAACACCTCAGGACTACTTATCATGTCCTATTCTTGTCTTATATTCTTTTCAGTCTCAGTCTTTGCTCATGCCTCTCCTCCCTTCCTTTTTTTACTTTTGTTTCCCTTTTAAGGTCCAGCTTGGACAGCTAGGTGGTACAGTGCATAGAGTGGCAAGCCTGGAGTCAGGAAGACTCATCTTCCTGAGTTCAAATCCAGCCTCAGACACTTACTACCTGTGTGATCCTGGGCAAGTCACTCAACCCTGTTTGCCTCAGTTCCCTCATCCGTTAAATGAGCTGGAGAAGAAAATGGCAAACCACTCCAGTATCCTTGCTAAGAAAACCCCCAAAAGGGGCCATAACGAGTTGAACACAACTGAAAAAAAATGACTGAACAACACTGCAAGGTCTGACTCAGGAGGTACCTTCTGTAGGAAGCCTTTCATCCTCCTCCTAATTAGAAGTGACCCATTCTTCCTCTAAGTTCTTGTAGCATAGGATGGATCTATCAATCAGCAGGTACTTATTTACCTCCTACTTTGTGTCAGGTGCTATTTTAGGTGCTGGAGTTACAAAAACAGAGAACAAAACAATTCTTACAATAGAGGATCACAGAATAAATAGATTTTAGGGTTAGAAGAGAACTTATATGTCCTCTAGTCCATTTTTGAGATGAGGAAAATGGATCTGGAAGATTTTGTGCCTTGATTAAGTTCACCTTAGTCAGAAATAGCAAAGCCAAGATTCAAACGGAGATCCTCTAATTTCACAATTAGTACTCTATCCACTATACCAGGAGACTTGCTTTCTGTTTATATTTCTCTTACATTCTGACTAAATTCTAATTTGCGTTATTTCTATTCCAGTCTTATTTCCCCTATTAATCAGTTCCTTGGGAACAGAGGCCATATATTTATTTTATCCCTTTAGTACCTAGCACTGTAACTTGCATACAGCAAATGCTCAAAATATTTGTTGATTGAATGAGTGAATGAATAGTTGAATGACAGAAATCCTGCCCTAAGGGAGATTATAGACTAGTTTGGAAGGAAGAGCATATACATGAAAAAAATACCTAACAATACAAAGCAATACATGATTGAAAGCAAGTGTTACATGAGTTCTGGGGAGGGCTTTTAAAGGATTTCTTAGGGCTAATGTAGTTCTTTTTAAAAAAAAAAATTTATTAATTTATTTTAATTTATCAACAATCACTTCCATATGCTTTTGAGTTTAAAATTTTCTCCCCCTTCCTCCCCACCACCCTCCCCAAGACAGCACATAATCTGATATAGGCTATACATATACATTCCTATTTAATGTAGTTCTTCATGAAAGAAATGGGACTGAGGTTGAGCCTTGAAGGGAGAATGGGACTTACGCAAACTGAGAGCAGAGAAAGTATATTGTGGTTATGGGAAACAGTGTAAGCAAAGACTCTGAGAATGGCATTCGCTTTTCTGAAGTATGAGCAGAATTTGGTACCTGTTACCACCACTATGGTGCCAGTTCCCAGGAGGTTGTCAGATGTTGTGGCTTCGCACGTATAGACATCAGTGTCATTCAATTGTACATTGGTTATTGTGATCATTAAGTTATTCAGGGACCCAGAGACGATGGTACGATTCTCGTAACTTTTTGTTATGATGGATTTGTTTTTTTTTGAGAAATGGATCACTTCTATAAGCCTGATGGTACTTCGCTTCAAGTAGAGCCCAGATGATTTTCCAGTGGTAGTGCAGGTGATATTGATTGTGTCCCCTTCTTGAGCCATGATGAACAGGGGAAATTGCTTCACCTCTAAAAAGGAAGAGACCAAGAAGTCATTCCCATTGAGCTGAGTGCTGTACCTCTGGCTCAGTGGCAGTGGCATGACAAGCTCTGTCTGGCATTTAAAACACTTCACGTTCTAACTCCAACCTTCATTTCCAGCCTTATTACACTTTACTCCTCTCAAGCTTTCTGTAGTGCAGCCAAATTGGCCTTCTTGTTGGTCCATATATACAATACTCTTTATCTCTGCTTTTACATGGAATGCACCCCCTCATTATTTCTACTGCTCTCTCCCTGTCTCTTCCCCTCCTTCCTCCCTTCTCTTTCTCTTTTCTTTCTCCTCTATCTCTCTCTTTCTCTCCACATATATGTGTACATCTATATTTATCTATCAACTATCTACCATCTATTTCTCTATCATCTATCTACCTATCATCCATCTGTTATTTATCTATTTATCTATCTTCTATCTTCTATCTTTCTATCTATCTATCTATCTATCTATCTATCTATCTATCTATCTATCTATCTATCTATCTATCTTTCTCCCCAATAGAAAATAAGCTCCTTGAAAGCAAAGTCTACTTCTTTTTGTCTTTGTATCCCAGCACCTAACACAGTAGTTGGCACATAAAATTATAGGATCATAGATCCAGAGCTAGAAGGGACCTCAGAGACCACCTAGTCCAACCTTTCCATTTAATAGATGAGAAAACCCAAACTTATTTGTAAAATGACCTAGAGAGCCCAGGGAGTCTAATTCCCACAAGTAGTATTAGAGTCAGGATTTGAATTCAAGTCCTACGAATTTCTAGATTTAGTTATGGCTCTTTCCACTCTACTGTTTCCTCTCTTAAATAGTAGAACCTTAGTAAGTACTTATTGATCGATTGACTGATTGCTGCAATCACAATGGCACTTAACCCCAAAATAGAGATGTATTAGAGCAGGGTGATAGGGAACTTCCATGCCTACATACCTATCCATTTCTAGATTACTGCCACCACAGGTGTGCCCAAAAACCAAGATGGGAGAATCTAATCACAAAATAGATCAGTTACAGGAAGGGAGGTGGGGGGTGGGAAAATCTTAAAAAATATTTCTTTTTTTAAAAACATGAATGAATGGGGATTATATGACAATGAATAGAATTGATTCTGGGATGACTAAATTAGTTTGTAGAATTCTTTGTGAGCATGAAAGAATCAAAATGATAAAATCCGTGTGTCAGGCTGTGATCAGAAATCTTTTAACATGTAGCTCCATTTCTCAGTGTACACGGCAAACTTGCTGCAAAATCAGACAACAGACATTTGAAATCAAAGGAGGCCAGGAACAGCTGCAGACTCTGTCCAGTCATGCATTCCTAAAATTGGTTCAGGTCCTTATAATCTCTTCACTGAGTTATTGAGATTATTTTTAATGGGTCTCTTTGCCCCCAATCTCCCTTCTCCATTGCATTTTCCTGCCCCTGTCGGTGTCTGTATGCCACCATACCAACTCTAAGACCTATTGCTAAAACCTTCAAGCCAGATGATGAAAGTCAATAGTATAGAACTATCCATAACAATTATAAACAAAACAATAGGCTTAATGAAAAACACAATTATTTCAGTGGAAAACAAAATGGTAAAGACAATAGGGAAGAAGAAAAAATGACCTCATAAAACTTCACATCCAGAAAAAGAATTGGGATTGACACAGGCAAAAGGGTTAGATTCTGAGTAACAAAACAAGGAGAGAAAATTTGAGAATTGATTATCAGACTTCCCAAAAACTGTGAAGAAGAAAAGAAACTGATATCACTCTTTCAGGAAATTATGCAAGAAAATTTCCTAGCAATATTGAAAAAACAGGTTGTGGACTTACAAAAGGTAACAACAGATGAACTTCAAATTCAAATCATCCAGACACACAATTTTTAAGTTTCAAGACTACAGTGACAAGGATGTGACTATACAGTAATCCGAGAGCAAAAGTATCTCCTCAAAAAGCAGCAAGTATAATTGCATAAGATTTTCCTACATAAGTAAGAAATGAGAAAGTCATTTTCAATGACAGATAAAAATTAAAGGCTAAAACATTAAATCAGCCAAGCCATGAATTCTCTTTCAAGACAAAAGACGGTAATTCAAGAATTTATATTAACTTGAAAAATCAGGAGCACACAGAGACAATACGGCAGTTTTTAATCTACAAAACCATTGAGACCACAGACTGAGAAATAGTATTAAGATAAGTACTTCTGATTAACTAGTTACCATATAGCAATGTAGTTTTGAGAAGAAGATAACAAAACAATAGCCATATTGTCTTGATCAAGAATTCAATGGCACGAATAGGCTTTGGGGAAAAGGGGGGAGAAAAGAAGTGGGAGAAAGAAAGGAATAAATTAATAATGGGTATTACAGATAAATAATGAGAGAAAAAGAATCAGAACAAAGAGGGTGGAGTGGGGAAGGGGAGCAATCTTTGGAAGACACTCCCATTTCAAGAGGAAGGGGATACGTGGGGGAATGCAGGCAGGCCTCTTTTTTTCAAATAGAGTAAATAATATTACACTAGAAAGTCTTTGAGTGTGCACGTTTAGGTTGAAATGAGAACATTATTAATGAAATAAGGAAGACTATTCCTTTCTGACAAAAAAAACCCCAAGAAGTTAACGATGTATAGAAATGGTTGCCAAAAAGAGATGGATTTATTATATTGAAAAAAAGAGAGAGAGAGAAAGAGATGGAGAGGTTTTACATAATCAGAAGCAATGCAGCCAGGATAAAGTGTGCGTGCATGTGTGTATGTATGCATGCATGTGTGTGTGAAACCAAATTCTTTCCTACAAAAATTTTTGAACTTTATGACAGGCAAAATGTATAAGGAATTACCAGAAATTTATTAGTATGACCTGTTCCCCAGTATTATAGATAAATTGTCCAAGGATATGGAACAGATAGTTCAATTACTATCTGAAAAAAAGTTTAAGCTCTCTTATATACAGAGGAATGGAAAATTAGACAACTCTGGGTACCACCTTGTACCCTTCAACTTGGCAGAAAGGAGAAAAGTGATCAAATTCATTTTTGGTAGGTCTGTGAAAAAAGAGAGACTCTACTGTGCTGCTGTTGACCTATGCATTGGGACAATTTTTCTGGAAAGCAGTTTGCTATTACACAATAAGGAACTATCAAAAATGTTCATGCCTTGTGGTCCCACTACTACAGAGTGCTAGGCTTGGAGTCAAGAAATGAGTTCAAATATAGCCTTACACATTTCTTAGCTGTGTGCCCTGTGCAAGTCAATTAACCTCTGCCTGCCTCAGTTTCCTCATCAGTAAAATGGAGATAATAATGATACTTACCTCCCAGGGTTATTGTGAGGGCAAAATGAAGGCAAACTTTAAAGCATTTTATAAATGTTGCCTATTATTATTATTATTATTATTTATTATTATTATTATTATTACTAGGATTGTTATTAGACAGCTGGTGGCACAGTAGGTAGAGAATTTAACCTACAGTCACAAAGACCTGAGTTCATATCCAGCTTTAGACACTTATTAATTATGTAACCCTGGGCAAATCACTTTAACCTCTGTTTGCCTCAGTTTCCTCAGCTGTAAAATAAGAATGATAAATAAACCTTCCAGGGTTATGGTCTTCCCAATAACCATTTCAAAAAAGGAAAGAGGATTGACTCTTTTCTGTCTAGAATTTCAGCTGCAGAGATTCCTGTAGTACAAATACATCTTGCGCAGCAGAGTCATACTGCTAGCCAGCCTTGACCCTATACAAAATCAGGTTTAGACATCCATCAATGAAAAAGCATCTATTAAGTGCCTATTACACGTCAGGAACTTTCTAGGGATTCAGGCTTATAGTTCTACTGAGGACTATGACCAGGGGCAGATAGGTCGACATATCACAGGGAGAGCTGGGCTAAATCATGATGTTATAGTGACCAGATTAACTTGTGGTGCTACAGGGGCAACTGGATAAATGTTTACCAGATGACAACATCAGTGTTTCCTAGATGACAATATTAACGTTTACCAGATTGTAGTGTTCCTTTGCTAAATGACGATATTAGTGTATACCCTTGTAGCATGCATTTCACAAGTAATTGCAAATCCAAAGCTCATCTGATCTTTAAATTTTGCTTATATTTCTGTTTAAATAGTATTAAAAACCAGTTGAAGATAAAGGAACGATCAAGCATTTCTGGTGTGTATGTGTTTCATTAGTATCTTACACAAGAATGAGACAGAGAAAATAATCTCTATCAGAAACTTCAAGCATCTTCCAAGCTGGGGACTCTAAACCTTAAATTAAAAATAATCTCAGATGACCATGTTTATCCATGTACTGTGTACTTCACATGTAATTTCATATGGTCATGTGATGCATATTTTTAGTATTGTATATGCTTCTGTTATGGTATTTTCTTGTTCGTATTTATTTGCCTTTGTGCTGGTATCATGCATGTATTGTAGGTACCTAAGCCTCTGAGCATGCATAGTTTCATTACTTGTTTATTTGTGCATACCATGCTATTTTGCACATTTTGTTATCCCGTAGGCTATTTGATTGCTTTATTTAATTGCTATTATGCTATATTTGCTTATGTTCTTTAGACATGTGTATACTTTTGTGACATGTATAAGCAATATGTCCTGAATACAATTTAGACCTTTGATCACTTAAATATAACCTGTCAAGTGATCTTTCCTCTGTGATATGCCTATGGCATGTGTGGTTGATATATATTTACTGTGGGTAGCACCCTAAGGTACTGGGACTCTGGATTAATCATTCTTCTTCTGGAAAGTGCTGCTGTGATGTGTAATTTCAGATGTCAGTAATGCCATAACTGATGTTACAAGGGACTGAAAAATTTCCAACACTGGGAAGGAATGTAAAATTTCTTCTACTGAAGGATTTAAAGTAGATAAGATAAAAAGCCTGATGGATAGGTTGGAAATCTTCAGTTTCTTTTTTTCTTTTTTTTGGATTCCCCTGTCTAAAGAGAGTATG